AGAGTTAGAAGGGGCCATACAGGCCATCTAGTCCAACCCCCTGCTCAAGGCAGGATCAGCCTACAGTATCCCTGGTGTTTGTCATATAATTCTTATGAACTAATAAAAACATGGCATATGATCTTTAATAACAAAATACGTTTCAACACTGGAGACATCACTCAATGTCCTGACACACCTCAGAGGTTTCTCCCGAGCTCTAAGGCATGCCTGATACAATCATATCTGACAAGGGATAATTCATCAAGGCAATGTGAATAATTTCCAGCTATAGACAGCTGGGCAACCTTTAAGTATTGCTAATCCAATCCAGCCATTGGTAAAGGCAGCCTAACATCTGATCTACCCATCAAGAGGGCATTTAAACCCACCATTCACCCCCAGTTCCTTGTCCAACAATCACCCCACCTTGGAATGTCAGGTATTTCCCTACTAATCTTCGCACTAGACTTTGAGAGCAGTTACCTTCAAACTGCCCTGTCAATTTCAAGCTTCATATTTCTGGGACAGAGGGTTTCCATGTCTAGGTATGGAGCCCTTCCCCATAAAAAGACCATCCCAAGTCTGTAGAAAGTGTGCCAGAGTCTCCCACTATCTGGATGCCACTGCAACCACTCCACAGGCTATCCTTTTCCTCCTTGATACTCTGCTCCTTGCATCTACCCCTCGACCTCTCCTCAAGCCCCAGATATGAAGGTTGTATGTGCCTTCCCTAAAACTTCCTGCTTTTCTCCCTTCTCCCTTCTATAAGTATACCTTCTAGCTAGTGTGTGCATGTGAGACTGCTTAAGGAATCAGTCTTTGGGTGCTTCTTTACATTTTTATTGTCAGGTTTTGGGGATTACCTAGGAGAGTTGCTCATCTACTGGAGGACGTAGGTTGCTGGAACGGAGGTCCGACACATCACTAGCCTCAGAACATAGGTGAGAGCCCCCAGCCCGGGTACTCTTCCCTATTTTATCAGAGTGAAACCCCCTGGGACAGTGTTACTTCACAGCTGTACTCCAGTCCTTGTTTCGCTCCGATTTCATCCTCCCTGGCTGTATGTATCTCTCCTCTTTATTCTGACTCAACCCGTTCCCCATCTTAAAGCAACAGGGCCAATGATCTATGGTGTTCTGCCTCCCGTCTGTCGGGACCGCCTCCTCGTCTCCTTCCTTTGCCTCCTCAGTTTGACGTGAAGATTCGTTCGATGGGTCTTTGGTGGAGGTCATTGCGAGCTCCTTGCACTTGCTCTCTGAAGCCTCGGCATCCTTCTTCTCCTCTTTGGCTTCTTTCTCATGACTCCCGAGATCCCTGGTTCTCCTTCGCTGCTCCCTTGCTCTCCCGATCGTCCTCACTTTTAGGGATCCTTTGTGTTGGGGTTGTAGTAAATTGCCTTCTGGGAGTGAGCCAGCCAGACCCAAATTCTCTTTGGAATCTGGTGAGCGGACAGGAGTATTGAAGAGTCACAAAAGGCAGTCGGCATTGGCATTCTGTTTCCCGGCCCGGTGCTGAACAGTGAACCTGTAGGGTAATAGGGATAGATACCAGCGTTGAATTCTGGGGTTTGTATCCTTCATGCGGGTGAGCTATTGCAAAGGCGCATGGTCCGTCATCACAGTAAAGGGGTTGTTACAGAGATAATAACTTAATGCATTAATGGTCCATTTCAGGGCCAAGACCTCACACTCAATTGTGGAATATTGCTGTTCTTCATCTGTCAACTTTTTACTTAAGAATAAGACGGTCCATTCATAGCTGTCTATCTTTTGGGTGAGGACCGCTCCTAATTCCGTAGCCGAAGCATCCGTTTGTACTATAAATGGTTGGGAAAAATCTGGATTCTCTAGGACTACATCAGTCTGAAGGGCCCCTTTTAAGTCTTGGAAAGCTTGGTCTGTCTCAGGGCCCCACCGTAATACATTGGGGTAAGATTTACTCAAGAGATCTGTCAGAGGGGAGGCTCTAGAGGCCTACCCTGGAATAAATTGACTATAATACCCTACCAGGTTTAGGAACCGTCTCAATTGTTTCTTCGACTGTGGTTTGGGAACTCCTTTATCTTTATTACTTTTTGAGGTTGAAGTTTGACTGTTCCTTGTCCTACTATAAGCCTAAATATTTTAATTCTTGAAACCCCAGTAGACTCTTCTTGGGGTTTGCTGTTAATCCCACTACTTCTGGGGCGAGTAAGACTGCCTGTAGATGTTTCACATGAGTTGGCCAATCGGCACTAAAGACGATGATGCAATCGATATAAGCAGCTGAAAAAACTCTACAATGAGTCAATACAGTGTCTACCAATCGCTTGAAAGTGGCTGTGGCCCCATGGAGGCTGAAGGGCATCCGAACAAATTGATAAAGACCTGAGGGTGTTGCAAAGACTGTTTTCTCCCTATCTTGTGGCTCCACTAACACTTGCCAATAACCTTTAGTTAAGTCTAGAGCTGATATCACCTTGGCCTGTCCTAATTGATCCAGTAACAAGTCAGCACGAGGCATGGGGTACGCATTGAACCTTGAGACTTGGTTTAATTCTCTATAATTGACACAAAACCTGGTACTACCATCTGGTTTTGGAACGAGAACGATAGGACTTCTCCATGCGCTCCTAGAGGGTTCAATGATTTCCAACCGTAACATGTCTTATGTTTCTTTTTCCACTTCATCCCAACGAGCCCGCGGTATGGGTCTCCACATGGAGCACGCCACTTGAAGGGGTTCCGTGGGAATGACATGTGTAATGCTGGTGGTGCAACCTGGGTTTTTAGAAAAGACTCCTGGGATGGAGTGCACCAGTTGTCTTCTAAGAGCTTCAGGCCCATGTTGGGTACCTCATCGCTGTCTTGGCTTGTGATTGTCCAGTTGGGACAGGCTTCAGTGACCTCTGAACAGTGTTACGTCACAGCTGTACTCCAGTCCTTGTTTCGCTCCGATTTCATCCTCCCCGGCTGTGTGTATCTCTCCTCTTTATTCTGACTCAACCCGTTCCCCAGCTTAAAGCAACAGGGCCAATGATCTATGGTGTTCTGCCTCCCGTCTGTTGGGACCGCCTCCTTGTCTCCTTCCTTTGCCTCCTCAGTTCGACGTGAAGATTCGTTCTATGGGTCTTCGGTGGAGGTTATTGCAAGCTCCTTGCACTTGCTCTCTGAAGCCTCGGCATCCTTCTTCTCCTCTTTGGCTTCTTTCTCGTGACTCCCGAGATCCCTGGTTCTCCTTTGCTGCTCCCTCGCTCTCCCGATCGTCCTCACTTTTGGGGATCCTTTGTGTTGGGGTTGTAGTAAATCGCCTTCTGGGAGTGAGCCAGCCAGCTCTATCTGGCAACAATAAAGGCCGCAGTCACATGGACCTCTTACCGCGCTAGTTTTCCCGCAGTTCTTCTATCTGCGACATTTTATATCTCTTGGAGGTGGTCAGACGGTCCCTCTGTCTTCCGCTTCACTCGCGCGAAGTACTGATCACACAGTGCGCCATCCCCATGGCGGCGCGGGTTTTTTTTTTAAAAAAAAACACCTGCACATGCGCTTGTCTTCCCATGACGTAAAGGAAAACGAGAAAGAAAATGGGGTTAAACATGCGCTTGGGCGTACATACAAACTAAAAAAACCAAAATAAAAGCTAGTGCCTGTTTGCACATGCGCATAACTTAAACCGGAAACACAAAAAAGGGGGAGGGTAGTCACGGCGGATTGCTGTCCAGATACCAAGACCGCGGATACAAAGCGCGAGATATCAGAAAAACACCTGTTCCAACGGGTGTCAGAAAACGTGGATAAAAAGAGCGGAAACCACGGGACTCAGCCCACTTCGGTGCGGGAGGCGGGTTTGCCAATATGAACAGGAAACTTTAATGCGCAAGGGATCAGCAGTGAAGCCCGCACTAAATGTCCGTGTGACCTGACCCAAAGTTATTTATGTTTACAATCCCTCTCTCTCACTCTCCTTCATAATGCTATACTGGGGTATCCCCACCGAGATCCACCATGGTATACATAGGCCACAAGATCTTGCATTATTCCTTTCTGGAACCCATTTTTAAATCTGATTTCTCCTTCTTTGGGCCCAGTTGGGTAGCATCAGCCCTGAACAGGGAACAGGATTACATAAATCCTGGACATTAATCTCCTGCCTGCTACCTACAATTTTCTTCCAGAACCACATTAGTACACTTCCTATTCCCAGTACTGTTGATACTGATGTGCACCAGGACCACTGGTTCCTTCCTGGCATTGCCTACCGGCTACTTTATTAAGGCATGGCTAACACATATGTAACTTCTTACTTAAATCCTCCCAGCCCAACCCAGAGGGGAACACTCAGTGCAATATGGGTCAGTCATACATCACCCGAAGCATGGAGTTCCTTCTAATCAATCACCGTGCCCCACTCCATCTCAGCCTTATACCTTCCTACCATTTCTCCCTTCCTGCTGCCTCTCTGTCCAAGATTGTTCAAAGGGAAAGCATTGAGGGTGTTTTCCCCCTGTTTTTGTTTTTAAAAGAAAGGTGCAAATGAACTAACAAAAGAAGTGGTTTGTGGTCCTTTCGAACCTTTCCTTTGCTGGGATAAATGCAGTTTGAGCAGGCAAATGGTGGGAAGATTATTGCCCCTGTTTCTCTACTAAAACTGGGAGCTTCCTCTAGTTGCTTTTTAGTCACAGCAAAGCATGAACACATGAAGCTGTCTCAGATCACTGGTCTATCAAGGTAAGTTGGACTGGCAGCAGCTTACCATCCTGTTAACTGGAGGTGCCAGGGGACTGAACCTGGGACCTTCTGCGTGCCAAGCAGATATTTTACAACTGAGCCGCAGGAACTCTCCAAAAACTTGTTAAAGGTATTGCATTCTATCCCCCTGGACACAGGCTACAGCTGGACTTGAAGTAATTTCTGTTGCCTTCTGATAATGTCTAGTCTGGCCATCAAAAACATGTGGTTTGTGATTAAGCAACTTATTGGAAGAATCTCAAATAACAGCAGACCAATACAGAAAGCATAATGATAAAAATGGAGGATTACCTGGAGAGAATGTCCGCTAGGATTCAAACTGAATCTAAATGTTTCATTGAACGAAGGTTCTCTGTCATGCCTGCATACTCTTGTTTTCTTCTTCATCACTCTCTTTTGAGTAGCAAGGTTAACAACATACAACTTCACATACAGATCTGTTCAAATAAACAGTTCAACCTATCACTCAGAAGCCTGTTAATTAACTGTACATTGTTAGGCCAAAAATAATTTGGGCAGTGGGAAAATCATTCTCAGTTATAAATGTGAGGTACCTGCAATGTATATTGTTTACCAGTCTTACACAGGACATAAAAACAATATTAAGCAAGGTGTATATTTTCCAGAAAGAAAATGAATTTCAGGTACTTCCACTGAGAGCTTACATTCCATGGAAACTATTTTTGGACATTCAATTTCTTCTCAAAACACTACATAAGAAAGGATGTCATAAACAAGCCTCTCAGACCTGCCCTTCATATGAATGTTAAATCTGTTTAATGAAACTGAACTTCCTCCTCCTCATCAGCTTTCAAATGGCACCTTGTGGGGGCAAATCAATTCAACAATCTTGGAACTTTTACATGAAGCACCACTACAAGACAAGGGAATCAGGTTTAGCATAAATACTAAGGTTGAGCACTTTTTGCCTAGGTGGGGCAAGGTAATGGTGTGCCTTTAAAAACTGAGAGTGTTCTCCAGAACTTACTATATCACTGCAAAGAATTCTAGGATATCATCTCAGTTCATATAACTGTTCCCCTTGCCATGTGAGTTGAGAATATGCTCCAGGGTGTGTTGGAACATGTTGCAAAGGATTCTTGAGTTCACACCTGGCCATAGAAGGGAAGCCACATCTAAGCCATGCCCTACATTACATGATGGCAACAAGTCTGGTTTTCTGATAAAGCTACGTGCATGATACATGTCTGCAAAAGTGTCACACTTTATATTTTAAGATATGTCAAATAGCTCTAGCCTCTGAATGTATGGTCACCAGAACTATACATGGCCTGTAAACTAACTTCATATCTGCATCACTGTAATCATACAGACGGTGACACTGAATTATTTCATAGATCTGTCACTTCTTGCTTTTTTAATTCATAATTTCCTGTTGGGATTTTATTTTTGCTTTTATAACAGGTTTCCATATGAATTAACTGTCCTAACTCAAGAAAGAGTGAAGCCGTTTTTAAAATAAATGTGACCTATAGTTAGGTTTGTGGATACATTTATACTGAAATGTTATCTATTTTCAAGATTTCCCATATTTTCTTAATTATCTTGTAAATAGTGTTGTTGTTGTTGTTTTTTAAACAAATTCTAGTTAAATGCCATTTGCAGTCTGGCTGTTAACACCAGCATTAGCTCCCTGCTAATGAAATTGTAATAGGTTATAGAGCAGTGGTTCTCAACCTTCCTAATGCTGCGACCCTTTAATACAGTTCCTCATGTTGTGGTGACCCCCAACCATAAAATTATTTTCGTTGCTATCATAAGACCATCGAAAATTTGTGTTTTCCGATGGTCTTAGGCGACCCCTGTGAAAGGGGGGGGGGTGAATTGGGACAAGCAGGGGCAGATTGGCCTTCCACCCAAACTGGACCTGGCCAGCCTTGAGACAGATGGCTAGTTCCTGGCCGGCTCAAGCCCTGCAAGGTGTGCAGAAGGCAGTACCCGACCCATCCAAAGTGAGGGAGGTGGTGCCCTGCCTGCCTGAACCCCATGTGGGGCAAAGCAAAAGAGGCGGTGCATGGCCTTCCTGAGCCCACATAAGATGAAGCAAGGAAGGCAGCACCTGATGAAGCCCTGTGTAAGGTGAAGGAAGTGGCTCCCAGCCAAGTGGTTTATAGGTAGGCGTCCTCTTACTTACTTCACCCATTTGAGGGGGCAGGATTGACTCTTCCTCTCTCCCTCCTTTGTGGGGTTGGGGAGAGGGATGAGTCCGTTTTCTAGGGCTTTTTTTCACTCCCAGTCCACCCCTGAGGATAAGCTTTGTCCAAAGCACTTTTGCCACCCAACCCAGGTCTGAAATATGCCATTTATTTCTTTCAGGCACTGCTCTCTCTGTATCCATGTGTTGGAAATATGTGTGTTGCAAAGTCTAAAATTCAGTCATTATAGGGTTAATGTGTGTTTACCTTGTGTGCTATTGTTTAGACTGACCTGGAAGGAAACTTGGCACAGAGCCAATGGAAACAAAGCTGTGAAACTGAAGTCTGTTTACTCATAATCACTGGTTAATGTATTCAGGTGATTTCCTTCTAGGGGTCAAGAAGAAGAAGAATTTCCATTGTTGTAGACCGTGTGGTCAAAGTGTAAAGATGTATCCTTAGGTGTCTTTGTTGTTTTGTAGGTTTCCTGTGAACCCTTCCCTTAGAAATAAAGATTTTTACATAGAAGAAAATACCTCCTCTCCAGTGAAGCAAAGATCCATTGTAATTTCTGAATATTTAACTATTTTGCAAAGTTTTCCAACATATTCTGGTAGCAGAGGATGGTTTGGTTAACTGACTTTGCCTGATATGCCTAAGTGAAGTAAGTTTTAAATGCTTCACTGGAGCGAGAGAGAAAGTCTAGGAGCTAATTAGCAGCCGAGAGGCTTGATATTAAAATAACCACTTTTTTCTCCTGCAAGTTTTTTTCTGCCCTCCCTGCCAAGCATACTGCAGCTGTGAAAGGTGAGACCCACATTGATTTGAGGCTCTCCCTATGCCAGCCTGCCTATGCTACAGAGAAGCAGGTAGGAACTATTCCTTTTTGAAGTTTTTTGCACGTTTTGAATCCTGGCGAGGAGGAGGAACTCTAGGAGCTGATCACCTGCTTCCTGCTCTGAATAGGAGATTAACCCTGTGAGTGCCTGCTGAGTGCCTGCTAAAGCCTTCAGATGAGTGATCCAAGCACGTCTTCTGGATCAGCTGCAGATGTATGTTTATTTAGACAAAAGAATGTGTGTCTTGATTTTTATAGAGGCAATTTATCCTACAAGCTTCAGAGGCGGGCGGGGGGGTTGACCTCCCAGCTAGGAGCCTGTTTTTTCACCTCTTTCATGCTATGATTTATTTTTTAAAAGAAGGGCTTTTTTGAGTTTGTATATCTCTAAGAGAACAATCCTAAGCAAGTTTACTAAGAATCCCATTCAGACCTATTCAGTGGGCCATACTTCCTGGAAAGTGTTCTTAGGATTGCCATATGTCTGTTGGAGATAGGAGAAGGGCCCACCTGAGGGGGCTGTTCTGGTTGCCACTCAGCTGGGCAGCAGGAAAATATGCAGGGGGAATGGGGGGGCATCAGAATTCTCACTCATTGATGTAACTTCTGGCACAATCAGAAGTAACATCACCATGTTGCTGGAGACAATCTAGCAGCTACTCAAAACTCCATGGTTAAAGCAGTGTTTGGTTCTGCTTAGTCTATTGTGAAAAGTATTTCTATAGTTGCCTTTTTTCTTGGCTTCTTACTGTTGGAAGCCAAATGAATATGTTTACCCTGATTCACCAAGGCACTCCACCCACTTTTTATCTACTTTTATATTGTATTTTAAGCTGTTAGTAAGAGAGTCTGGATATAGATTTTTTTAATAAACAAATTCTGATGTATCTGAGGGGTAAACTATGATATATCGATGCATATGATTTACCCTGATAGGCTCTTCCATGCAAAGTATCCTTGGGAGGGGAAGATTTTCAACAGAAAAGTCATCCCTTCACTGCTGTTCCCTGAAACAGATCCAGACCAGACTCATGTTTATGAGGGGAAAATGGTCCCTGTAATCCTTAAAATTTGGAGGGGGAGGTGGTGTGTGTGTGAATTGTGGCTTTCTGTTTTCCTCTGGCCTTTTGCCAACTGGGTTTTGTTTGTTTCCGCTCCTTCCCTGCCTTTGTGGTGGTGGAATTTTTTTGTGTTCTCTACTGCTTTTAATGTTTTCTGTTGATTGGAGAAAGTTGTGTCTTTTAGTATCCTTTTAAGCTTCTGGGCTTTTAGTTTCAATATGTCTTTATATATCTTTGTTTTTTGTTTTTATTGTATTTTTAAACTTTTCATGGAAGCCACCTTGTGACCTTTTTGTGGGCAGACATTTAAAAATACACTAGTCAGTCCTAGGGCCTGGGTGGCTGGTAGGGGTGTGTAAAAAATTGGTATTATTTGGGTTCAGCTGTACTGAACCCGAAAAATAATGATATTTCTTGATATTTATAAATCCCAATACTGGTATGACATGGGGATTTGGGAAATAATCAGAATTACCACATTTATTCAGCTCCATTATACCCTATGAGGACAGTCCCCATAGGGCAGGGGTGGCCAAACTGTGGCTCGGTAGCTGCATGCGGCTTTTTCACACATATTGTGTGGCTCCTGGCAGGGCGGCTGGGGAAGCTAAAAATCATTAGCAAACAAATAACATTGGACAAATAAATATCATTATCAATATCTGTTTTTACTGCTTTTGTTATTATTTTTGGCAGTTTTATTTCATGTTAATAAAAAGCAAATTTGCATATTTACCAGTAATATTTGTTCATGTCTTGCGGCTCTCAAACATCTGATGTTTATTCTACGTGGCTCTTATGTCAAGCAAGTTTGGCCGCCCCTGCCATAGGGTATAATGGAGAAGGGGGTGGGTGAACTTGCACCACTCCCAGGTTCACTCACTCACGCACAGCAGAACTTGCAAAAGCCATTTAAAGGGAAAGTTCCCTTTAAATGGCTCTTCCAAGCCAAGCTGTGCATGAGTGAACTTGAAGCGGGGCGAGTTCCCTGCAGGTTTTGCTGCAGCTCTACTGGGCAGCCCACCAGCAGAAAGGAGGGAGGGGAGATCTCAGATCTTTTCCCCTTCCATTCTGCTGACCTCTAGGAGCCGTGGCCAGCAGAAAGGAGGGAGGGAACATCTCAGATCTTCCCCCTTTTCCTTTCTGCTGGCTTTGGGAGGGCTCTGTTCGGTAGTCCAGTCTCACTTGGGCAGCCCAGTAGAACCCCAGCTGAGTCTGCAGGGAGCCTGCAGTTCCTTAGCAGGCTCTGTTGAGCAGCCCCGTTTGAACCAGGCTACCCAGCAGAACCCCAGCCAAGGCTGCCGGGAGAGTTCTCCCCACAGGATTGGTTCCTTTGCAGGCTCCATTGGGCAGTCCGTTTTAAACTGGGCTGACCAGCAGAGCTCCAGCAGAGCCTGCAGATAAGGGAGGATCAGCTGGGGCAGTGTGGAGCTGTCAGCTCCCGCCGCCCTGGCTGATCCTGGGCTGGCTCCTCTTGCAGCTTGCCTTAAACCAAGCTGCAAGAGGAGCCAGCCAGCCCCAGCTGAGGTGGTGCAGAGCTGTCAGCTCCATGCCATTCTGGTTGTTCCTCTCTTGAAGCTTGCCTGAATAAAAGCCAAAAAGAATCTGAGCTGAATACTTAATAAATACAAAAAAAAAAAAAATACCAACAAGGCATTTTCCAGGTATTTATTCAGTTCTGTTTGTACCAAATGCACACCCCTAGTGGCTGGTGGGGAAAGGTTTAAAGCAACCCCTGGGATCTTGCAGGGCTCTTTTGAATTGCAAGATCACCAACTCTTGAGGGCATACTGTAAGGGAAGGTGGTAATAGTACAGGCAGTTATGGGGTAGCATTCATTTTGGCCTTTAAAAAGCCTACTTCCCCCCCCTGGACCACTGCCTTTCACTGCAAGGATATTTCCCACTGACAAGAGCATTTGCCCCTGAAGTCCTGACCAATGCTCCCTCTAAGCTGTGGAGTCTTGTGAGCAAAAATCCTACTTTGTGAGTTCCTGGCATTAAAGTTGTGAGTGAGCGATTTGGCTACTGCATAAATTAGTTTGCACTGGAGCCATCCTTCCTGAGCTAAGACAAAAATGTGTGAGCCGGAGGCTAAAAAACTGTGAGCTGGCTCACACTAACTCAGCTTAGAGGGAACACTGGTCCTGACTCTGCAGCGATTACAAGAGTGCAGTAGTCAATGATGAGTACATGCAAATTAATCAGTATAATATTATTTCCATATTAAAATGCTCATTGCAGCTGGTACCTGGTAAGTGATCTGGGGATTTAAACTTGTATGTGATATTTCTACACTGAAGGATCTCCACGATTAGCTGTTCGCCATCTGTCTTCATTTCCTTCTTTAGAGCAATCTTAATTTCACCCACCATCTGGGTTTTCCCTGCAAATAAAGAAAGGAAAAATTAACATGCAGTACAACCAAGGGAAAAATCTTACGGCTTTGTCTCAAGTTACATGATAACTCTTCATAGAAGCTGTACATTGCCTTAAGCAAAGCGGGGACCGCTGCTGGAATCCTGCCAGGGAGTGGTAACGACTGTCCAAAAGATTGCTGCTATTACTTAACTGATTTTAAAAGTCCTTCAACCCTTTCAGCACAGCCTCACCCTGCAGAACACCAGGTATAAATAAAGAACCCCTATGGATGGGTTCCTGAACCACAATCAAACCTTACTTCATGGCAGGGTACTGACTTTATGGGAAAGACCCATGAGATTAACCAGGTATATGAGTTCATCCATCACAAGGGACCCTGTTTTTCTCCACTTGGATTTACTCACTGCCTGGATCATAGCATTGGTGTTGGACTCCTGCTGA